GACCCTCCATTTTACCTTGAGGGCCTTCTCCTTTCATTGACCCTCCATTTTACCAAGTATGACATCTTTCTCCAGAGAATGGTCCCTTCTGACAACATGACCAAAGTAGGTGAGATGAAGTGTGGCCATTCTCGCTTCCAAGGAGCATTACAGCTGCACTTCTTCCAGGACAGATTAGTTATTTTTTTGACAGTCCACGGTACTTTCAATGATACTGTGTGATAATTTCTACGTTCTATGGGATCACCTTTCTTTGGAATGGGTACAAATATGGATCTCTTCCAGTCAGTTGGCCAGGTAGTTGCCTTCCAAATCTCTTGGCATAGCTGAGGGAGTGCGGCATCTGTTTGTTGAAACACCTCAATGGGTATTCTGTCAATTCCTGGAGACTTGTTTTTTGCCAATTCCTTCAGGGCAGCTTGGACTTCTTTCAATACCATTGGTTCTTGATCATATGCCACCTCCTGAAATGGATGAACATCCACCAGTTCTTTTTGGTACAGTGACTCTGTGTATTCCATCCATCTTCTTTTGATGTTTCCTGCATCATTCAACATATTGCCCATGGAATCTTTCAATATTGCAATTCAAGTCTTAATTTTTTTCCTCAGTTCTTTCAGCTTGAGAAATGCCAAGCATGTTCTTCCCTTCTGGTTTTCTAACTCCAGGTTTTTGCACATTTCATCATAATTGACTTTGTCTTCTCAAGTTGCTCTTCGAAATCTTCTGTTCAGCTCTTTTATCCTATGAATTCTTCCATTTGCTTTAGCTCCTCTCTGTTCAAGGGCAAGTTTCAGAGTCTCTTCCAATATCTGTTTTGGTCTTTTCTTCCTTTCCTATCTTTTTAATGACCTTTTGCTTTCTTCATGGATGATGTTCTTGATATCATCCCACAATTCCTCTGGTTTTCAGTCATTGGTGTTCTATGCATCAAATCTATTCTTTAGATGGTCTCTAAATTCAGGAGGGATATAATCAAGGTCATATTTTGGCTCTTTAACTGTCTTTAGCATCAACTTGAACTTGCACATGAGTAGTTGATGGTCTGCTCCACAATCAGCTCCTGGGCTTTGCTTTGGCTGAATATATTGAGCTTCTCCATCACCTCATGCCACAGATGTAGTCAGTCTGATTCCTGTGTTGTTGAAAAAAGGTATTTGCAATGAATAAATCATTGGTCTTGGAAAATTCTATCATGCGATCTCCAGTGTTATCTCTACCACCAAGGCCATATTTTCCAGCTACCAGTGATTCTTCTTTGTTTCCAACTTGTGCATTCCAGTCACCAGTGATAATATCTTGATTGCATGTTTGGTCAATTTCAGGCTGCAGAAGTGGGTAAAAATCTTCAATTTCCTTGTCTTTGGCTTTGGTGGTTGGTGTGTAAATTTGAATATTAGTAGTAGGAGCTTTGGTAGCATAGTGGCTAAAGCACTTGACTGCTAACCAGAAGGCTGGCGGTTCAAACCCACCAGCCACTCCTCGGAAGGAAGGTTGGGCAATCCTACTTCCGTAGTGATACTGCCTCGGAAACCCAAGGAGGGGTCGCTATGAGTCGGGGCCGACTCCACGGCACATAACAACAACAACAGTATTAACTGGTCTTCCTCGTAAGCATATGGATATTATCTTATCACTGATAGCATTGTACTTCAGGATAGATCTTGATACATTCTTTGTGATGATGAATGCCATGCCATTCTTCTTCAATTTGTCATTCCTGGTATAATAGATCATTTGACTGTCTGATTCAAAATGGCAAATACCAGTCCAATTCAGCTCACTAATGCCTAGGATATTGATCTTTATGTGTTCCATTTCATTTTTGACAACTTCCAATTTTCCTGGATTCATACTTCATACATTCCGTATTCCAATTACTAATGGGCATTGGCAGCTGTTTCTCCTCATCTTGACACATGCCTCATCAGCAAATGGAGGTTCCAAAAGCTCCTCTCTGTCCACATCAAGGTCGACTCGACTCTGAGGAGGCAGCTCCAGTTGCCTTTTGAGTGCCTTCCGACCTGAGGGGCTCATCTTCTGGCACTACGTGGCACAATGTTTTGGGGCTATAGTCCTCCACTACTATGTCCAACAGTTTTTCACTGCTATTCACAAGGTTTCCACTGGCCAATTCTTTGAGAAGGGAGCGGTCTCTTCCTTCTTCTGAGTCTTAGTCTGGAAGCTTCGCTGAAACCTGTCTACCATTCGATTTACTTATAAGAAAGCAAAAGGGAGGGAAAACAGCAAGTTAGTCCCGATAGTGAGTGTCCTGAGTGTCCACTTTGATCATGCCTGCTAGCTTGCGGAGCTGAGTTTTCAGGAGGGCCCATTCGACCTTCCACTTCAGCCTTCCACAGTTGGAGCCCCCTCCCCTCCACACAGGGGCATACAATGAATGAACAAGTCAACATTGGAAGAACTGACGGCCAGAGTGCCCCCTAGTGGAATCTAGGGGAAGGTGGAATTGAAGAATAAATAATTCCTGGAAATACAGAAAATCTGAGTACCTGATTATTGTAGTAAGATATTAAATAGCCCCCACGTTCAACAAAAAATTATAAAACATACCACATCACGGGAAGGGGTGGTTCAATTAAAGGAAAACCCTGAAGAAGCAGAAATGTCTCCAATGGAGGCCAAGTTAATGAGAAAAATGGAACACTGCGAGACAAGAATGAAAAATATGTTCAGAGAAAGAACACACAGAAAACAAAGTGATGGAAACCATAAAACAAAATCAGAAGGTAGGGAGACTGAAAACATTAAGAACATGCAATGGGCAAGACAGACAGATCCTGGGTTACAAACGAGATCCTTCCTAAGTGTGTCTTTAAGGTTTATAGGTCACTTGGAACGGCAGCCTACGGTTCCTATTTAGCCTTCCTTTCATGCAAGAAAAAGGAGGTCTGGTGGTGCAGTGCCTGAAACATTTGACTGCTAACCAGGAGGCTGGCGGTGCTCCAGGCAATCTACTTCCATAAAGAGTGAACCGCCTTGGAAACCCAACAGGGGTCACTAGGAGTCAGAATCGACTCCCAGACAGTGAGTTTGGTTTTGGTTTTTACTGCAATGATTTACAAGCTGAGTATGCAGCCAGTGAAGGCGGTTATCATGAAGACTTTGTTGTAAGTGGGGGTTGGTGATGGCACACTTACATAACATTAAAGGGCAAGCGGCAGTTGTCTGTAAGTGGACTGCCTGGGCTGGAATCGAAGGCCAAACCCACTCAGTGGCATTGTGCAAGACAGGCCTGGTGATCTGCTTCCAAAAGCCACAGGTTTGGAAACCATGGAGCAGTTCTCTGCACACAGAGGGGCGCGATGGGTCAGGATCCACTCCAGTGATACGGTTATAAGAAATGCTAACATTGCGGGGGACACTATAGCTTCCCAACAGAAAGGTTTTAAAAATAAGCGATTGTCCTCCTTTCAAAAGCAACTTCACGCTCGAGTTCTGAATTGGCTCTTGGCTGCTTTTAAGTCGGTACTACTGGAGCAAGACCAAGCCTGGATTTTCTGTTTCAGAGGTTTCACTCACTGGCAGCCAGCAGCATGTCGTCCTTTCTCCCTCCCTGTTGCATGTCTCGCTCTGCAAAGCTGTCCAGCCTCTCTCTATTCCGCTGACGGGCCGTTGTTTTTCTAACTCAAATAACTGGGAAGTCAGATCAGTACTGTGATGTGTTTACCAATTTATAAAATTACAACAGTCCACATAATGTTAGGACAATTCATGCATATTATAGTTCTGTGATTCTTTGCATTAAATATAACCCCATATAAGGCAACAGGACATTCCTGCCAAAAGGCCAGACCATTCCTCGTGTCCCTCCACGCTTGACGTGAGGTGACCCAGCTCCTCCTTGCCCTCTTTCACTCACTCTGTTTCCTAAATCAAAAACCAAACTCACTGCCGTGGAGCCCGATCCCACTCATAGTGACCCCTCCTCGGGTTTCTGAGGCAGTTCTGGGGAGTGGCTGGTGGGTTTGAACCAGCAGCCCTCCTGTCAGCAGTCAAATGCCTTAGGCACTAGGCCACCGGGTCTCCCTCCTGTCTCCTGGTACAGGCATT